ATGGGAATCGGTGTTCTCTATAAAATCGCGCTAAAAAGGTTATTCAAAAAAGTGACATTAGCGTCGTTTATCAGCATGTTTTTAAGATAGTGGTATAGTATATATAATGGTATTGTAACTTAATTCAATTATTATATGATTTTTTGCAGTAGGATTATACATTTATGTACATATTTACATTTTTTAAAATACGTTACTATTCTTGAGAAGCAGTGAAATGTGTTTGAAAGCATTTATTTAAAAAATGTTATAACGCGATATACAAGCTTATTTTCAAAATAATTTTCGACCCCAATTTGACCTAAGTCTCTGACTATACTATACCATCGACTCACTCATAACGGTGTGCCCTATTTCAAATTTCGGATGCCCTACTTGAAAATTGGTTCTGGCTATGGCCCTAATAGCGCGACCATGCCGGCTGTATATTTACACATCCTCCTATATGACGGCACCGGAGTGCTGAAATGTGTTCGCCTTTGTAACCTACAAGTACGCTACAAAAGCTCATTGATTTAGGCACCAATGAATGAGGCCTCTCTTATTGCTGGAATCAGTAAGTAAGCTTATCTGCATTCTTTGAAACAATGGCTGTACTTAAACTGCCGTTGAACGGTCGTGTACTAAAATGCCGTTAATAGACATGATGTCATTCAAATGACGCATTTGAAGTGTTTTGGGATTACAAAAAAAGTAAATATACAAGAATAAAACGAAGCAACGACTTCTCGTAGGGTGGCGGCTTCGCCGCCACTAAAAAATGTTAACCTATACCTGGCATACCCGGTAGGCGCGGCATAGACGCCAACGGCCTGGACACAGCTAAAATTGAAAAGTAAAGACTTACCTAACATAAAATTTGTATGGGTGTCTAAATCAATGAGCTTTTGTAGCGTACTTGTAGGCTACAAAGGCGAACAGGTTTCTGCCATCATATAGGAGGATGTGTAAATATGCGTACCGGCTTAAGTCAATGTAAAAAAATGTTTTGCTAAATTAACGATCTTGGATGTAAAGTAGCCACTGCCAACAGTAATTATAATTACGTTAATGAGATTAAAGTAATTACACCATACAAAAAATTGTTTGTTATTGCATTTGTTGTAAATAATTTTAATTCATGGTGTTTTCAATAATTTAGTCCAAATATGCAAAAAAACTAAATTCTGGGCATATAGGGTAGCAAAAAAGTATAACAACAAGGTATTTTCTTTATATTTTATAGGGTAATGAATGGGATTGTATTCTGCATTTTTTAGAGGACATATTTATGTAAGGACAGCGTTTATCGTACAGCCGCCATATTGATTTTAAAATGGCAGCGTAGATCGAGTGATATATCAGAGAAGAGCTTATTTTTCTTGTTTTCAAGAATTCTAAATCAGTACGACATTACTAATATAATACAGTCCCATTCATCTAAAATACCTTATTACTTTACCTTACCTTATGACACTATATTTTTATTGGATCAGAAAAACAATGGTAATGTAATACAATCCCATTCATCACCCTACAATTTCATAATTATACGTTCATTCGTTTCAAAATAAAATACCTTGTTGCCAGACTTTTCTGCTACCCCGTATACATTCCTGAGAATAACCACAACTATAATTTCCTTTTATTTAAAGGTGAAAATGTACTAAGAAATTTGGCTGTTTTTTTATAAACTTGCGATTAAATGTGTTTGTCCAATCCTTGGAATTTAATCGTTAATATTGACCTCTGGTTCTGAGATATAAAAGATCAAGAAATTTAATGATAATATAACTGTACTGTCAGACAGTGTATCCAAGATTCCGTGGATGAATTATATGTAGATATTAATGTTCACACTACAAAAATATAAAATCCAATTAGAATTGTTAAAACATAAAAAACCTATAGGACAGAAATTTAAAAATAAATCATTATAGAACTCGTAATAATTTGTAATTTTTATGCCTTATTTATAACGGTCTTTAGGGGTCTTCTTTATTACAAAAATAGCTGTAACGTTGTTCGGGCCGTATAAACTGGTAACGCTGATATTATTCGTTTTCTGCTCGCTCTAATGATAATTGTCTGTAGTTTTCACATGCACTTGGGCAAAGGGTATTAGAAAGAGTACAATTGCCGATACTGTATGGACTATGACAATAAAGTAATACTAAACTTAAAGAAAGGTGTACCTTTTTTATATAAATAGTTAACAATTCTTGGTGGTTAAACGTTTAGTCAAGCATCCAAAAGCTCTGTAACCGCTCACCCATCTGTCGCTTTTCTAATTGTAGGAAACATGTATTTTAATTACCTCCCTCCCCTTTGTAATTTTCAAAGTAATTTATACTTACTCTAATAGGCCTTTTTCCTCTAGTAGTGAATTTGTAATTTGTAAAGTAACCCAGGGTTCGGTGCATTGTTTGATACATATTTTGAAATAAAACTCAAAAATATATTTAACTTATTTTTTTTCTCAATTAAAATAGCGGGAATGAGAAATTATATATCTTACCGAGACCTCACATGTTTCCCGTCCAAATAAACAGGCCACAGGCAATTTGCCGTCAAATATAAGCAGTTAAAGAGTTCTTGAGGATATACAGTAGACATCCTCAGAATTAAACTGTTTTAAATAATTATTTGATTTGTCTATTCATTTTTATATAGGTGACCTTACTGAGCTATATTTGTTGCAATAACTATCATATATTCCTTATATTTTAGACTCACCTAGAGGTTTATGTAGTACAGTCTTATTGAAATAGTTCCAGATCAGTACCAGCAAAGTACCCCTTATATTCAGAGCTACCTACGCTGCGAAGATTTAGTGTCCCCAGTCAGCTGAGCTGTTAATTAATTAACCAGTGAGAGTGTATCGGCATTTCGGTAAATCAGATTCTTAAATAATTTTAGGCTGGTATAATATAAACACAAATATATCCTGAGACGTGTCCATCTGTCGGACCAAATATGACCTTATTGAATAATAAATTTCTATAATAATGATAAACCTCTTTTTAGTTATTGACTGATTGTTCTTTTCTGATATCTTTATATTTGTTGTTTGATGTATGGAAGTGGTGCTCATGTGGAAATATTGAGCAGTGGCATTGGGAAATAGATGCTTTGGATCGTAGAAGCAGCGTTACTTAGAAGCATCGGAACGTAGAAGCGTCGGGAGGTAGAAGCGTTGAGACGTAAAACCAACCAAATGTAGAAGAGTCGGGACGTAAAAGCATCGGATCATAGAGGCGTCGGATTGGGAAGGCGTCATACAGGAGAAGTGTTGGGTACAGGAAAGCATCAGTTTAAGAGAAGTACTGAATACTGAATTAGAATATAACTGCATCGAACTAAATTTTAAATAATATTGAATAGACTGGAGTTTGAAATCAACTGAATTAAACTGAATTTAAAATAATAATGGGTAATTAGTTCTCCGGGTTTGGTATTCATATCAAATTTATTAAATTTTATATTTATCGTTTTGATTTGTGAATGAAATAATTTTATTTTTAATAAATATTACTTCGTTAAAAGAATTATGTTGTACGAAGGTTTAGAATTGGGTTCCCATGGAATAATTTTTAGCTTATCTGGTTATTGGGCACGTTGACGAAAGTTAGGATCTTTCTCAGACAGAGTTATTGGTTTTATTTATTGAGTATCGTAGACAAGATTTATTTAATTATCTGGAATATTTTTCGTTAAAGTGAAGGAATCTGAGTTTAATAAGAATGCAATTTTTCTTTAATAAATAGAATTAATAAATAGTTTTAGTAGTGAGTAAGAAGGTTTTTTATCATAAAAAAAAAATTAAAAGTGTAAAAGGAAAAGTTCAAAAACATTTATTAAATATATCAAATCATCCTCGTATATGGCTTTTGTCAGAAAATGTATTGAAAATCACATCCAAGTAGGCTGTGACATTCAACTTCAATAAAGACCATTTTCTAGTGAAAGTCAGGGAGTTATCGAAAGTTCGTTGTATGGTAAACATCAAATAAATCCCACAACAGGTCGATAAAGAAGAGTTTCATCATTACCTGGTGAAACTGAGATTTTTTGACATCGATCGAGAACTTCTAGAAATTGGATTTGATAATATTATATTTCTTCCAATAATAATAATAATAATAATAATGAGAACATTAGGACTTCAGATCCTGGACACATCCTTTGAAAGAAGGAAAAAGATACTACACATCACAGCCAAAAGATGGTAAATTAATTGAGCTCATACATTTTACATGGCCTAAAACAAGAAACAGATAAATGAGAACTTTCACTTAAAAATTCCAGAATACTAGTTATTTATTGAAAACTCTAACCGCAGAAATCGACATTTATTATTTTTTATTTAATTATTTAATGGACATTAATCACATTGATAATTTTATTTAAATCCTTTTTTGTAATATTCATAATTTTGTTTATAATTCTCTTGAGAAATACTTTGATGAAAATTTTTAGTTATAAACTTAAACGTATAATTTCTTTTTCTTAATTTTATGTTTCGTGATGAAATCATACTTCTACTGACTTACGGTAGCGTAGGCGTAGACACAGTTACAAATCCTACGGAAGACTATGTGAATTTATTTGCATGGTTCTCTATAGGATTTGATGGATGCCGTATTAGCAGAAATTTAATTTCTGTTGATATGACATCCAGATTATTAAAAATCGCCATACGTTACCGTTTTCGATGATGGTGGGCGGGGTTTTCCGGGTTTTTCTCACCTGTAAGTCAAATGACACTATCAATCGTCTTTAAGTCGCCCTGGAACGCCACGGCAAATAATAATAATACCCGCCCCTTTCCCCGGAGAAGCTGAATATATAATCATGTATTATCAAAGTAATATAAAAATTCTATACCTCATACGGACATAAACATATGCCATGTGTATCGCACTACAATAAATGGATTTCTTTGAAAATGCACTTAGAAGATAACGTAAGGGTTGATATATTAAATCTTTTTATGTAAAAATGTATATTTTTAAAATGTGGGTACTTAGACCCTTTAGAAGTTAAGGTCTTTAATTGTAAAATTGGTTTATTGACAAAAAAGCGCAGTCTATGCAACATTTTTCATATAAATTATCATTCCTAATATTAATATAACGTAATATAACGTAAATCGTGACAAATATTTATAGATCTAGAATTATTCAATCGGTGAGTAAATAATATACGTGGTAATATGATTTTACACCCCTTTTATATTATACAGGGTGTCTCAATGAAAAGTAGCCCATTTCCAGAGCTTATAACTTATAAAAATCGTAGAAACGTTCGGTTTCTGCCGATATGTATTATTTTCCTATGATTATTGCTTCAGTGATACAGAGATTATGTATTACCTATACAGGGTGTTTTTTAAAAATCTCTTTTTTTAATTTCACCGTAACCAAATTTTATCAAATGGAAACGAGCTACTTTTCATTGGGACACTCTGCATTATACATACTGTATTACAATCTAGAAGTGTTCAGTTCATCTCTAATAACAATAAAATAACTGAAGAGGGATATCCAACTGTTCTATTGTAAAGAAAACTCGAAATCGGTCTTGAATAAAAATAATAACAATATAGTAAAATAGTGTTATATTACAAAAGTCTACAAATGGAGTAGTATTAAGAAAATATATATTAAAATTATTTAAAACATTCGCTTTGTTTTACGCATTTATTGGTTGCTGTATCCCTGATTAATTCACCGTCACATCTACAAATTATATTACAATCCCTTGTACAAAGAAATGCTAAAAGACAATTTGATTGTGGTTGTTTACAGGTGGGTTCAGTACAACAAGGTTTACATCCACGAAATTCATTTTCAGGACATTTTATTAAATCTGAAATTATAATATTTTTTGTTAATGATGGTTCTTTTACAAAAAATTATTTTAAATTGCACAAATCATTTTGAAAGCTACTGATGTTTAAAGATACAAGTGATACATTGAGAAATGACAATTTCTGCTCCAATTTGGTATACACACATACACATTTTTTTTATCACGAAAAGAACGAAAAAAAAAAGGAAAAGGTACTTTAAATCTTACTACGTAATTTTTCAAAATCTATCAAGATCTGTCAAACTCTATCAAAATCTATCAAATTCTATCAAAATCTATCAAAATCTATCAAAATCTATCAAAATCTATCAAAATCTATCAAAATCTATCAAAATCTATCAAAATCTATCAAAATCTATCAAAATCTATCAAAATCTATCAAAATCTATCAAAATCTATCAAAATCTATCAAAATCTATCAAAATCTATCAAAATCTATCAAAATCTATCAAAATCTATCAAAATCTATCAAAATCTATCAAAATCTATCAAAATCTATCAAAATCTATCAAAATCTATCAAAATCTATCAAAATCTATCAAAATCTATCAAAATCTATCAAAATCTATCAAAATCTATCAAAATCTATCAAAATCTATCAAAATCTATCAAAATCTATCAAAATCTATCAAAATCTATCAAAATCTATCAAAATCTATCAAAATCTATCAAAATCTATCAAAATCTATCAAAATCTATCAAAATCTATCAAAATCTATCAAAATCTATCAAAATCTATCAAAATATATCAAAATCTATCGAAATCTATCGAAATCTATCAAAATCTATCAAAATCTATCAAAATCTATCAAAATCTATCAAAATCTATCAAAATATATCAAAATCTATCGAAATCTATCGAAATCTATCGAAATCTATCAAAATCTATCAAAATCTATCAAAATCTATCAAAATCTATAAAAATCTATAAAAATCTATAAAAATCTATCAAAATCTATCAAAATCTATCGAAATCTATCGAAATCTATCGAAATCTATCGAAATCTATCGAAATCTATCGAAATCTATCAAAATCTATCAAAATCTATAAAAATCTATAAAAATCTATAAAAATCTATAAAAATCTATAAAAATCTATAAAAATCTATAAAAATCTATAAAAATCTATAAAAATCTATAAAAATCTATAAAAATCTATAAAAATCTATAAAAATCTATAAAAATCTATAAAAATCTATAAAAATCTATAAAAATCTATAAAAATCTATAAAAATCTATAAAAATCTATAAAAATCTATAAAAATCTATAAAAATCTATAAAAATCTATAAAAATCTATAAAAATCTATAAAAATCTATAAAAATCTATAAAAATCTATAAAAATCTATCTATAAAAATCTATAAAAATCTATAAAAATCTATAAAAATCTATAAAAATCTATAAAAATCTATAAAAATCTTCATCTTCAGGCAATCCTAATAAATTTCATTTCAGTTTAAGTTATCAAAAGAAATTAGTGGATATTTATAATGTAGATGTTTTTGAAGTCACAAAAAATTGTTATCCTAGCTAAATTGGTTAAGTCTCAAAAAAAGCCGAAACTGGACATCCTATAAAAATGATAAATAATACCGACGACATTTGAGATTGCGGATAAATATTTAGAATATTTATTATAGTCAATAAATTCTAAGATTTTTTTAAACCACTATTTCAATTATTATTTTTGCTATTAAAATCTAACTCTACTATATGCGGAAGGAAGGTTTATAATAATTTTTAAAAAATATCTCACTTAATCCTTCGGCCCATGTCAAATTGACAATTACACCTAAAACAAACAAAACAGCTAATAAAAAAGACTGCATGATGGCAAGTTATACTATGTGTCAAAACGAAATGTTGCGATTTATATAATGAAACGAAATTTAGAATGTGTATAATGTTACGAAAGTCGTACATTTAGTTTTATACACTATAATCATAATATAACCACAGAAAAAATAAGACTAACAACTTTATTCATAAAGCAATTTTAAATATTTATCTCTATCTGTATGTAAATCCTTAAACCTAAACATAGTTTCCGAAACATATGTAGTGCCTGGTGCATATACTTAAATTTTATAAAAACAATAAAAACGAGCGAATAAATCAATAAACTTTTTATTTATATAAACATTAACGTTAACTAAAGAATTAGGTTCTGGATCTTATAAAATCAATCATATTGATGATATAAAATATAGATAGCTGGTAACCCTGACTTGGACCCAGTGAAATAGTTTAGAAACTCTTACTTCAAGAAATTTGGAAAGTGGTTGCAACTCGTTAATAATATCGAGATTTGTTATGCTTATTAGACTAAAATAAATTATTTTATGTCGCTGTTTAATAACAAAAAGTTTGGTTGTTTAAATAAAATACATTTTCTACATAGTTAATTAATTGTTAGGTATCCATAAATCTCCTTTAAAGACTATTTTTCTATATTAACGGCCTTGGATGTAAATATATCAAGTAGCCACTGCCATGAAGTAATTACATCATCGAGAGAATTGTTTGTTATCGAATTTGTTATACATTTTAATTAATGTTTTTTTTTTTCATCCTTGGAATTCATTCGTTTATTGACCCCTGGTTCTTTGATATAAAAGATGTAATAAGAAATGTTCAGTGACCACTGAATCAGAGCAATCTCTACCCGGAACTCAACAGTAACCTTTTTAATACACAGAAGATATCTGTCACATTGTAATCTTTTAACCACTGTTACGTCGCTATATTGTTTTGCCATATTGACAGCAAACGTTAGGGTCCAGTTAAGTAAAAATCCACAAATAAAACATGTTTAGGACAAATCTTTGCCCAATGTCCACTTCGAATCCTACGATATGTCGTCATGTCGTCATAGATCGCCGTTTATAGGAACACTTATTATCAGAGATAACAGGATATGTAACTACTTACAAATATCGTGCGATCCTGAATAAGGCATATTCTAAGGGACACAGGAGAGTATAATATCCGCTGTTGTCATATGCCTATTTTATTATTCTCGTTTTGTTTACAAAATTATTTACATATATTAAAAAAACTAAAATAATTCAACATATTTTATTGCAGCTGAACCCAAAAAATTTTGAATAATTATTTATATCAAATTTAACTAAACTAGATGTAATTTTACTAAATTATTTTTTATAAGTTCCAAAATCTAGTAATGTTAAGTTGGAAGTGGCAACAGGGCTTACATCGCCATAGATATCTACGTTGTTTATTGTAAGCGCACATCGCTTACTCATTTATTTATTAATAAAATGAAGTTGTATCTACGTAAAAGCCTTCTCTTTATCCCCTTTTACTTTTCACCTTTTGTCTCCTCGCCGCTGCCCTACAAATAGAGCTTATTGATTGCCGCATTAATCTTGGCTTCGTGGATATTTTATAAATGAAAGATTATATCTCTGTTATCTCTGCATATTATGCATTTCAAACTAAATAACTGTCAGTGGGAAGGGTTGGTATATTTAAGGGGTTGCGACATACGATGTATTCAATCTTCAAAAAGTGAAATCATGAATAATGAAATAATTTAAATATTTGTTGAACACAATGAAAATATTAAAAAAACCGCTTACATATTTTTCAAAAAATGGCAGGGTTTGCGATTACTATTTCAAATAAAAGTACCACCCAAGATGCATGCAATATTCTAACCCTCTTAGATAAAGTAGCTTTTCCCATTAGCAGCTATTGTTTGGCAGATCGTTTGAAAAAATATTCTTATTTTGTGAATATTTAGGCACATTTGTACGATAAATAAATAGACACAAAGGGACAATGTTCAAAAATACTTACAAGCACACCTATTTTTAAAGAAATAGAAATAACTCAAGAAAAAGAAAATATTAAGGGCGCAAAGCATAAAGAAACTAAACACTCGAAAAGAAAACTGTGAGATGTAACCTACCTCACCCTGGTACCCTAATAATTTACTATTTCCATTTTATTACTTAATTTAAAATCCTTCATTTAACAAAAAATTTCCCAGATAATTATATATTATTTACTATACCTAGTAAATAATATGTCTAACCCTATCCGCAAGAGATCTAATTTTCTTGCACGTGTTTGAGAACTCATCCCAAATCCACCATACAATATAAATCTTGTCACGAAGTAATAATCATTTAAACAGTTAACGCACTTATCTTAAGTCAGTTTTAATTAGTAACATTGTTTTCGGTACACAAATTTTTCAAGGCAAAAAATAAATGAACCATCCCTTTTTTTAACCAGTCGAATTCGTTCCCACCGGAGTGACTACAAACTGACACTACAAAATGGCATTAAAACGGATATGAATACCCGAATTCAAGGACTCGAGAAGCATGTATTTTATTGTTTGGTTTTGTATCCAAGTTCAGTAGTCAGTACCTTTCCTAAATCGACGCTCTTCCTAACCGACGTCTATCCTGGAATACCTCCTGTCACCTGAACGCCGTCAATCTCCCGGCGCCCTATTTCCCTAGGTCCCACCGCTCTATTTCTCTATGCTCGCCGTCCTTAAATATTTTCTTCATAATACCCTTCGTCGCGCAGCACAACCTTGGTATTTCCTACTGTATATCTGTCCTGACGAATTACCGAAATAAATGCCTTCCTCTTCGACACGACGCTAGGCGTCTCGACATTACTTCTAGAAGGCCCTGCTTTTGCGTTAACCCTAACAGCACAGAATGCGGGTGCCAGTTTTTTGTTTAAGTTTACAATATATTTATCAAACTTTATCTCATTGTCGATAAGATTCTTAAAAATATGGAGCATGCTGTATTATAAATAAATTGCAGTTAATTAATAGAACATGTTCACCAAGGCGAAGGTCATCATGTGTAAATTTATAGACATAACGTTTCTATTGCTTGTATTAAAAACTTGGAAAAATTGATTCACACCAATTTTGAACTGAAATGAGGTCATGAAGAACAGCATGTTTTAGATTATCCGTATATTGAATCTCTTCCATGTCAGAGGACGTAAATTTTCTCGAGACGCTGATTTTAGTTAAATCATTGACATAGATTAAAAAATTAATTGGTATCAAAACTAATGTACGTGGAACTTTGTGTTTAATTTGTCAGTTTCTTAAAAATCTGTCTGATACATAATTTCTTGAAAATCTGTCTGATACATAATTTTTGAACCATAAAATAAATTGTATATAATTAGTAAGAGGATAAATTCCTGACTGTAGTAGAATTTTTCATAAACAAAAAACTTCTTCAATATGATAGGACAAATTATATATTTTTTTTTATATAGGACTACATATGTTTCGGAATAAAGTTTATCTTTTGGTGCAGTTACAGTAAAAATTTTAGAACATTGAGGAACCTAAATTTTTCATAATGAAACTCATCTTTTTGGTCTGATATACTAACAATTACAAAAATTGCGTCTACTAGATACCACGACATCTAAGGTTTCTAGTGGTGAATTCTAGTAAAAGGTTTTTAATTTTTATTTTCTTTTAAATAATTTCATTCACATAACACCTCTTAGGGTGGCTTTGATGATCGCTTTGTAAGCCGAAAGCGTTCAGCCGAATATTTTATAAAATTTCAATTTTTCCACACTATTATATTTACATTCTCACCAAAATTAGATGATTGATGTATCAGAATTGCAAAATAAAAACAAATATTATTCAGAAGTTTAATGTTGAACTTTTTTTAACAATACTTTTCTTACTGCCTAACAAATACTGTATTTCTTCAATACTTTTACCTTTCGTTTCCGGCACATATAACATCACAAAGACAAAAGCGATCATCGTAATTACACCACAAGCAAAAAATATTACATCCATCCCCAATAGTTCCAAAAGAAACGGTATGCCCGCTCCAATTACAAACGCCAGTACTGTAGCAAATCCTATGCTGATACTTATGCAAGTATATTTAATATTTGACGTAAATACTTCTCCGGATATTATCAGCGGAATTTGACTCCAACCTAAATCAAACGATACAAAATTTAAACTTAATGCCACCAATGGTAACCAAAAAACACAATCAGTGTTGTAATCCAATTTTTTTAAATAGAAATAAATACCTAAAGAGATTATAGTCGAAGAACAGCCTGCTGAGGATATGTACAATAAGTTTTTTCTCCCCAATTTATCTATAAATGTATTGGAAATTACACAAGCTAACATTTGTAAAATGCCAATAGTTACTGATACAGTATAAGGAGGCATGATGTCGTTAGAAGCTTTAATAATAGTTTGTAAGTACAATGATAATAAAGCATATCCTGTAAATAGTTGAAATAAAAATAAACTACAACAAATAATCAAACCATTTCTGGTGGATGATGATTTAAATATATTTTCTCCTGCATTTTCATCTTTAATATTTTCATGAGTTAATAATAAATTATCAACTAACGTAATACCTTTTTCATCATTTGAATTAGAACGTACTTTCTTCAAGATTTCTTCAGCTCTTTTATTTTTATGCATGCCTATGTACAGCTGAGGACTATCAGGAATGAATGGCACAAACGTTACTAAAAATAGTACCATGATACTTAATACAATATAAGCCATAGTTCGGATGCTTACTATAGTTCCGATGGAAAAATTCATCAAATTTGCAACAGAAATTGTTGTTCCTGTAACAGAACTTAAGAATCCTCTATTATGGTCCATTGCAATATCGGCGACATAGCCAGGTATTAAACCAATACTAAAAATGACACAAGCTCCTGTGACAACTCTAGCGATGCAAAATAGAGCTACACATTTGGAATGTGCTATTAGTAATTGACCGATTGCAAAAGGTATGCTAGAAATTATCAAAGATTTTTTGCAGCCAAATTTTCTTGAACAGTATCCAACTAAAATGGTCCCAATTAATGATCCCAGTATTTGCAACGAAACTAACCAAGATTCTTCTGATTTGGTGATTGGTCTTCCTAAAGGATTTACGCTAGAATCGTTGCTCAAAAGTATTGGTAATGATGGTGATGACCATGTGTAGATGGTGCAGGTACTCAAGGTATGTAAATTGACTGTAATAAAGAAAACAATAATTACTTGATTTAAATGTTGTAAATATGTGTGATTTAATTAAAAGAGCTGCATAAATGTCACATATAGACTAAGTGCTATGCAAAACCATTGTTAAAGAGAAATTTGTTATCTTCAATAGGATATTTTGTCTCTTTAAAAAATAAACTTAAAAAAATGTAAATTAATCATTTTCAAATGTATACTTTGGCTACTAGAAGTAAAAACAAAAAAATGTACGTGGTAATTTTCTGGTAAAATGTATTTAATAAAGAACATATATTTAACATATTTTATTTAAATAAAAAATAGAAGTGTTTTTTGAAATTGGTTTATTTTAGTTTGTACAATTGATCTGTATCCGTTTACTTGACACTATAATATAATGAATATACCTATTTTTATATAATTAATATTGAAGTAGAAGCCCAAAAGTTTAATATTTAATTAAAAATGTATTTTTAAATGTTAATGTTTATTATACATGCTACTTTGGGTAATTTCCTATTCAAAGCTATACCTCTATAATATATGTTTCCTATCATAGTTTTCATAAGTTTATATTTCTGGAGATACTGAAGTATTTTGATAGATTACTACAAAACTTTGGTTTTCCTTGTCGAGATATCCACTGTTATCAATATTGCCTGAAATATTAACAAAGCTAGACAGAGGTTTGTTGATCTTTTTACAAGATTTTTTAACCCATTCCACTGCTATTCTGCATACAGATAAATACTTTTCTTTTATTAGAGATTTTTTGTAGGAACTGCAATTGGTTTCAAATTTCGGCCAGTTTTAGTAAAGTACCTAATTAGCCTATGTTGTAAAGACAAATCAAAGTCATAATTTGTAAGATGAAGCGAACAAATACATGATAAAACGTATAAAAACAAATCGACAAAATATTACACTACATTAAATAAAAACATAAAAATGAAGTGCATTATTCCTACCAACATAAACTTGGGGGACTACAACCCTAAAAAGAGAGCCACAATTTATTCTGCACAGTTATCTAAGAAAATTGTTTCTTTATATATAAATAATATAACCAAAATTAACAATTTTAAAGGTCATATAGTTTGTTACGCCGATGATACAGCACTAATATTTACTGAAACAAAATGGGAAAAAGCCCAAAAAATAGCGGAAACTAACTTGAAAAAAATCCATAACTGGCTAAATAATAATAAGCTATCACTTAATGTTAATAAAACTAAATATATTACGTTTTCCCCAACAGTAGTAGATCAACCAAACAACTTAATTATTAAATTCCACAAATCACAGTGTAATAAAGAAAAAGATTGTAACTGTCAATCTATACAAAAAACAAATTCACTAAAATACCTTGGAGTCATGATAGACAAATTCTATGAAATGCGTGATATATTAACTAAAAAAAATTTAATTATAGTGTACAACTCTCTGGTTGAATCAATTATTAGGTATTTCATTACTGCCTGGGGCGCAACATTCAAAACAACACTTAATCCACTGCAAATATCACAAAATATAATACTAAAAATAATTTTTAAAAAAGAGAGGCTTTATTCCACACAAAACTTATATCAAGAAACTAATCTTTTAAATATTAGGTCAAGTTATATTTACCAATGTCTCCTAAGAATGTTTGACCAACAAATTAAATGCCCTCAACAAAACATAAAAGAAACATAAACATAAAAGAAACACGTTCTAAACTGAATCTAAATGTAACAACAGATTTATTTAAAAAAACTGTTACTCAGAACTCCTTTCTTTTCTTTGGGCCGAAATTATTTAATGTACTACCTAAACATATAAAAGAAATAAAAATATATAAAACATACAAAATAGAAGTAAAAAAGTATATACTCAATCATCCTTATATATTTCTGATGTTCTCATGATAATAACAGCTGTTAAAATGTATTTAAGATAATGTAACCATAAATTAAAAACTGATTCTCACCCCCCCCACCGAAGCTGCCATCATTAGCTCTCTGAAAAAATCACAATTCAAAATGTCTTTATACATGAAAAATAGATGTAAAACACTACACACCCTTAAATACTGTAAACAGAGTGCCTCATAAAATTGCTTCACACAGGACAGGCAATCATGCCTAGAGTGGTAGCCATTTTATGAGACGCTAACTAATTGTAAAGTAATTGTATATAAATATATTTTAAAAAAAAAATGTTAATAAATAAAAAAAAAAAATATTACATTTTGAAATAAACCAAACCAAAACAGCACAAAATTGAAAGTGATCTATTTTTCACGAAGTATTCTATCTAGAATATGAATAATTGATTAAATATAAACATTTTATCCTAAAAAATCTGGGCATTTGATGTCGAACACAATGAAAATGTCATTTTTAAAAAACGATCATTTTTTTTTTATATAAATTGGCAGGCCTGGCGACTACTATTCCGGAAAAAATGGCTGGCTATGTCGCGACCCCCTTAGATATACCAGCCCAGGATAGGGATTCTTATCTGAGAACTCAACACGTTACGTGTTGAATAGAGAGAGACATTACATAAGAATCCTTCTGTCGAACGAAGATAAAAGCTTCTCAACGCGTGCCGAATTAAAAGATGATTTGGACGAACAATACGCTGACATGTGACATACTCAACAGTGATAGGTCGGTGTAAATAGTTTAGAAGTGGGATCATGCGCAATGTCTTATATGTTTTTATGTTCTACGGTTTGAATAATCTAAGGTCGAAGTGCATTTTTATAGTTAACTTTGACTTTATTCTTATTTATTTCTTTAAATTATAACAGGTTGTTATAAACCTTCTCATTTAAAACGTTCTTTCTTTTCTTTTTTAATTTTTGTATAGGCCCAATCCTTGCGGAAAAAACGTTCTTTAAGTATGTCACTGTTTTTTCATTTAACGTACTTTACTGACTTACTTTGGAAACATAGTTTACAAGTGAATGATAAAATGTTGTTTCGGAAAATTCAAGAGGCTGTCAAATTAGAGTACCTTCTTAACATGAAAATCGAATACCATCCCACATGTTCACCATGAAGTTTTGAAAGAATTAGAAAACCAGGAAGGAAGGCTCCCATGAAGCAATACAATGTTGGTAGCCCATTTGAGAGGATCGCCTTAGATATTGCTGGACCATTCCCCACCACCGAGAATGGTAATAATAAACTTCTGATTTATTAAGTAACTGCCAAAAATAAGGGATGAGTTGGCTCAGTGGTCTTAGGTTCGAATCCCGGTCACAGGATTTTAATTTATTTCAATTATTTATTTCAATTAAATATTAATTCTAATGCAGAGGAAGGATTCTAATTAACAGTGCTAATGTTAAAATGGCTCTGGAAAATAGTAATAAAGCCTACACATAACACGAGGCTGATAACCATAGCAGTTAATGCCGATGATACACACAGAAGAACTGATAGACATGTTTATTTAAATATTTGATTTCTTAGATTTTTAAATGAAAAAATGTCAAACTGACAAATAATTAGCCTATATAGTTAGCCTCTAATAAATCAGCCAAGCAATACATTACGGTATAAGATGATATTGAAATGTTCTATTTACCGACCACAAATATGTACAGGGTAAGTAGATTTATTAGACAGTATGAAATAAAAATAATAAAACTAATACAGAAGGTGTACTCAATCTATTGACTGCTCCTCTACTTATTTTATTTACACTATATTTCTTGAATCATACGCATACTTAATAAGTAAAAATAACTCACCAGAAAAAACTGCCAAGTAAAGAAAAACAGAATAGCTTTGTTCTGTCATTATTATAATACTTTTTTTATAAGGATTACATTATATAAGGTTATTTTTGTCATTTTTAATAAGAAAATAACCAGACAATTGATTCTCTTTTTATTTAAAATTTGATAACAAAAATCAACACATACGAATTGTCAAATAACTTTTTGTAACAGTTTAAATAAGAAAGTTAAATACTTTATTTACAAAAGGTAAGTAGGTATATATTTGTCTGTAGTTCTTTTAAATTATGTATACCTAAAATAATTTTGATTCAAATACATTATATCCTATCAATCTCTATTTTTTCATGTAGAATTATGACGGGCACTGGCTAATTGGTATGCATTCTCCATTGGATTGTTTCATTATAAACCCTCGGTTACAGCTACATCCTGGATTACAAACTTGTGGGCAAATTCCGCATTTACCTACATATCTATTAGCGCATGTCGGAGGAGTGCAACACGATCTACATTGCACAAATCTTGCATTTGGACCACAATCTCCTGAAAAAAAAAATCTCTGTTTTATGCAGAATTTTCAACAATAGTCGTTTTCACATAATCTGGTAACATGACTTATAGTTTATCAAGCGTTTCTTATAGTGGATTTTATTTGTTGCACTAGGTGTAAATGTTCTACACTAATTGCATTTGATGTGTGACACTAGTGCAACAAATAAAATCCATTGTTAATAACTTTTATAAGAACTGAAGTATTAGTTATGTCAAATATGTCATTGGCGTTTTTTAGGAGTTAAAGTGCACATTTTGTCATTTACCAACATGCCTCTATTTAATTTTTCATTGAATATTAATAAAATAATCAGTTATTCTTTGTTTGTAAATTTATTTACTTTTACTCGTAAAAGCTTATGGACAAATAATGTAATTTCAGCAAAAAATGTTTACATTGGAACAAGATTATTTAATTATATTGGCCCATTTTCGAAATGAAACTTAAATTGCTGATGAAACCTGATCATAATCAATTCAAAGTTGTATTCAACAATTTAGGGAACTTTTTTCAGATGTACAAAAAAATAATAATATTATACTTTTCGTCCAACTACACTCAAATTAGATGCTTTTAATTGTTATTTAGAGCGTTTACTTAATATACCTTTGACAAAAGAGTGCTTTGATACAGAACTTAATAC